GGGGGGGGGGGGGGGGGGGTACGATTTCAAAATAATTTTCGAACAGTGTTATTTGTGATATTATGAGTCCTACTTTGAAAGGAAACATGAGTCTGTAAGGATTAGCAATACTGCCATACATAAATCGTCATATGGACTGTCTTATACGACATTCTCATTTAGCCGATATATCACGTAAGAGTTAATACAGCAGGGATCTAAATATAGTAACATTTTAATTTTCTGAACCTTCAATTACCCAGTAGCATAAATTCTTCTTTAATTGGAGAATTTTGTTACTGGAATAAATCCAGACAGACCTGTACATAACAATAACCCATCAACTAATTGCCTTGAAACATAACATAAGCCCTCTCCGGGCAACTCCAAAATGAGTGTAAACCGTACATTACAGTGATCGAATTAATATTCATCTAATATTTATTGTGTACAGTTTATACGATTCCTCTCAATTTCTCTCCGTTTACAGTTAGCAGGTTTAGCTTCGCCTTGTCAGAACAAAGCATACAGGCAGAACCTTAACCACGTCGAATTGTAACTGACAGAGAATCTAGAAGTATTAACACGTATACGCCATACAAACTGATCTGGCAATAATTAAACAGGATGAACATACAAAGTAATTAGCAGCTAAATATTCAAACAGGAATGAGAAAAACAGGCACGAACTACATACTATACTACTGAATCAATGTGCATTTAGGTTGTTATTACAACAAATATTTACATAGCATGAAGGTCGTAGGTGACGAATTTTGATAATTTGTATTCGGCGTTTTAATCTTACAGAGTAAGGTGATTGTTGAGAACCTCAGTTCTCCAGCCTAGTTACATGCTATGGTTAGGAAATATCACAAATGTTTTCTGCGAAAAGTTGGAATTTATTTCCCTAGAACGTGATTTCATGACCTCATTGTTTTAATTCTAAGTAATATTTTAGCATATAAAGTAAAATACATCCATACATGGCACGAACACATTGCTTAAATCAGCACAGCGCTCACATTAAATTACCATAAACACAATACATTATTTCCTTCAGGCTAACAGATGGATTAAAATGGGACTTGAGCTGAAACATATTTTTAGCTGCTGTAGCAAGGCTTATAACCAGTGTTTAATTAATGAGGACAAATTGCTAAGAAACAAATGTACAGTTAGTACCGAGGTTCTTTCCCGAGGGTAAAGCACCGCCGAAGCGTGACGCTATTCACTAACCCCTAACTAGTGCCGAGGTTAAGAATGAGGAGGAGTTATAATTCCTCCTCCAATTAACTTTAGCGTGAGTTAGGCATCAAAACAAGTTTTAAATTGGGTATTAAAAAACTTCCACATGCATATTACACACGCAAGAACGTGCGATAGCCCACACGTGCAGCCCATAAACATGAACAGTACATATTACTCGTTATAGTTAACCGATGATAAAATTCAATAAATTAACTTCCTTCACATCCAAATAAAACTAAATTAACTATACGATACAGTCACCTCCGATATCAGCAGACTAACTGTTAAAACAAACAAATAAACACACTACATTAATAAGGATGTAGTGCTATTAAACTTGTCGCTTTTCCAAGACCCGAAGAATAACAGAAATAACATCTCCAACCAGGAACAAGAATTCTGAAATATTTTATACAACTTGAAAATAGGACCATCAAACTTATTATCACAAACATACGAAAACATTATGGAAATGCGCAAAGAGGTTCAAAAAGTGTGTCTTTACAGTCTGAAGAAACTTTATCTAAATAATGTTTAAGAAAGTTGGACATATAATTATTGTATTTAAAAGAGCCACGTCAATCTATGTGTAAGTACATGTTCTACGATACCGTCTATTTCTTTTTTCCTTTTATATAATCTTATACTTTTCCGATTTTGTAAGAATTATGCCAACAGATATTACAATTACATCAGGCGAAATTCGGGGAACCATTTCAACAGACGGACAACTGTCAACTCTCGCTTCGCTCTTCGCCGTTATTGCCTCTTCTCCGCTGTTCTCATCTTTTCTCTTCTGTTCCGTTATTCACTCTTCTCGTCCCTTCTCCTCTCTTCTCTTTTCTCCAGTTGTCTTCTCCACTACAATTTTCTCTAACCGTCCATTTATGTTTCTGATCACTAAATAATTAATGTTGTTATGTGAAATGATACAAAACTCTCGAAATTTTATAAAAATAACGAAAGGTGGTAAATGGACTGGAAGACTTTCAGTAGTTTTAAATTGTATGGATGCAAATAATTTGACAGTAGACGGTCAGTAAATACTCAGATCGAGTCAATTTTCCACATCCGACTTTGTTAGTGTATAGTCATCTTTGAAGAGCACATGGATCGATGGAGAGATAGAAAAGCAATGGCACTTGAGAACCGAAGTTCAGACAGTTCATTGCCTTGTTATAAATAACGAGAACTCCAATCTCCCTTATTGTTCTGTTGCTTATCACGCCCTACATTCAATACACAGATCGATACTTCCTTGTACATGTATGCACTAGTGATTTTCCTGCTAGTATGAATTATATTGTTGTAATGAAGTCCTTGTGCAATCAGATGTGCTAATAAATATTAAATGAATTTCCAACTGTTAGGAAACTATCTCCGAAGTCTTAATTGCTTTTAGTTGGCCTGAAAACTGTCCTATTACACACTGTATTCTTTTATACTTATTACTAGGAGACGGGCGGAAATACGAGAAATTCCTAGAACAGTTTAGTTGGACAGCCTGAAGATTAGAGAGACATGGATGCCCTAGATATAGATGAGAGGATAATATTAAGATGGATCTTAAAGAAAAATGGTGCTGGCTGATTTTTGCGTATACTTTTCTTTGACGACATATTGCATTTACATATTACCACGTTAAGTTTCATTCACCTCAGTTCTATTAATGCTCAATTTACATTAAGTGTGTTTTCTGATAAATATTGCTAAGTTTTATTTTAGAAAAAATATAATCTTGATTCTAAAATTCCTTCTCCTGATCAGTGGTTCGTATTCTTGTCTTACTGTTTAAATATATCTTTCTTTCTACCTGTAGAAGCAATATATGTTACTGCCTTGCCATTTATTGCTTGTTATGTTGATAGACATATCTACTGTTTGGAATCATGTTACAGAGATTCGTGATAGTCTGTTACTTATGAGACTAGAGAGGTCAGTGAACAGACAGGGTGTCCTAGCAGCAGCCGTTTCTACCCGTACGATAGACCAAGCCTTCAACTGTCGCCACAACCGGCCACTTTTTGTTTCATTGTTCACTGATCCAACAATTCAACAGTCCCTGATACAGGTACAACCTGCCCGAGATGGGAATGCTCTTGTACTTGAAGATGCTACTGTTTGTTTTCATATGTATTTTTGTGCTTGAGAGGAAGTTGAAGGACAGCCTATCACCTTAAGTCGCCTGACAAGTCATTATTTCGTAACTACGTTACAATGCAGTTACTCGTCAAACAAGTTATAACGTAACTCTGCACACGAAATTTATAACAGTGAAAGATCTATCACCCACCATCTCTCAGCAACTACAGCTCGTGGTGTTTCAACAGTACAAACTAATTATTGCCTTGGAAGCCTATTAGCTAAGCACGGTTTCCGTCCCTAAGAAATCAGCAAGGAACAGCTTAATTTTAACAAATGAATATTTATATTATACATGGGAACACTTCACATTAACCTAATCTGGCAGCACAATCCCAAAATTATACTAATCTTGCTTGATTTTATCACACTATTAATATTTGGCAAAGAGTACAAATTTCGAAGCTTCTCACTATGTAATTTGCTTCACTCTCCTTTTCCTTCTTCTCTCGGTTACGGTCAAATATGCTTCTCAACACTCTGTTCTCAAACACCATAATATAACACTAAACGTCACATATATTAAACATGCCAAAGTGTTGATATTATTAGTTATTACTATTATGTGTATGTAGGCCTGAAAATGGCTCAGAAAATTCTAGCGTATCTTTTTCATTAATCTGAATTTCTAAAAGGTTAAGTATTACAAGGCATCAAATTCAACTGGTGCCATACATTTACCCACAGAGAGAATGGTTAGCGCATATGGATATTTTCACACAACAGTGAAGGGTTGGACATACGGAGTTGATTAAAATTCAATTGAATTGTAAATGACGTTTAATTACATATTCAATTAAGTATCACAATTTATTTATCTCAACAAAAACTAATCTCCCAATACGCCACAGAATAAAACAACCCCCAACATAGTGTAAATTAATAAATACGGTATAGTAGTGCCATATAAAATTTATACGATCGTTACACAACGTTCATAGAATGGATGTATAAGTGGACGCTGTGTCTGTCCAACCGCATTTTTTAAAACCAATAAAACAAGCATTTTATATGAAGCCCAAATCGAGCTTTATTAAGTGTATATAAAAATATTCTTATACAAAATTTGTACACAACACAAGATATAGTGTCTATAACGCATTCAAAAAAATTCTTATACATGTATTGTTTTATATTTAACGAAGTATATCGAGTAATAATTTATGGTTTCCTGCAGTGTAATGTATACACTTCTGAATAGCTTCCTAAGGAGCAAAATGTATAAATGTAACATAATGCCTACTTACTGTTCATTATATATGCAAAACACATAAATTTGTACCCTCAATAAAAAAACATGGAGTCTACTGGGAGACGCGGAGTTGGGAAAAGTGAGAGTTCAAATATCTACTTAACAATGGTAGATGGCTATTTTACCGTTGTGTAGGCGTCATTCAAGCATCCACGCGGAAAGCGGTCTTTAAAAAGGGGAAGGAAAAGTTCAAGAATAGCCAGGAATTAATGTGGTCCTGTAGCCTCGTTCTGCAAACAAAATTTATCTTGCCTGCAGAGTCGTGTTTAGACTACACGCATGTAAAGCGTGTCGGAGAAGTCCTCGCTGCAGAACGGCGCCCAAGACAGATTATTCTTGAAACGTCAAACACACAAACAGAGCTAACGGTTTCATATGCGTGCAACGAAATCAGTGTACAAACATAAGGCAAAATGTGGAGAATGTGTGACCGATTGCAATTTATATCTAAAACCGCTTGTCGAATTTTGGCAAAACCTCTCACATGTGAGATGTCTGTACTAAGTTATGTTGACGAATTTAACTTTGTTTCTTAACGACGTCACGTAAGTGATATTTTACACAATTATAGTCAAACCTCAGATAGAACGAAGTAATTAAAAATATGGTAATTGTCATGAAACACATCATAGACTTTTATATGAAAAGTTTCTAGCTCATGGTTATATTTAACGAATTACAAGCTAAAATCGTTTGTACCTGTAAACAAACTGATATACGTGCTATTAATTACAACTTACAGCAAAAGCTAAATACTCTATGTAGTGTACTACGGACCACTGCCAACCACCAAATTCTAATTAGCTTCACTTTATAATGTATTACACAGGTGCAGAAATTACTGTTATAAAACTAGCGAATATGTTCGATTTTTGTTTCCTTTCAGAGACTAAGCCTTGAACATTTATACTATTTACACAGCCTTTCGTAATGAATGTTAATTACCATTACTTCCTGCCCCGTCATATACACTAATTCAAATCGTTTCGTGTTGTACCGTGCCCAGAATTTAATTGAATTTGTTCAATGGGTTTAATTATGACTCACAATTTATACCACAAAGTGTGTTAATTTATGTATCAGGAATAAACATTGTTATTACATCTTGAGACTGTTAATCGTACAGTGTGAGACAAATATGATAGTCCTCGAGAAAGCCACCGCAGTTTTATGGATCCGTGAATCACAAAAGCTGAAAACCACTGGAGTATAATCCTACTACCTACAATATTTACAACTAATGAACACAAAGAAAAAATAAGGATAAAACATCATAAAGAAATCTCTAAACTGTACTCCAGACCTAAGAGAAACTTTTCCATTGACTTCACTAACAAAGTTAGGCCTTTTTAGTCAGGTAGATGATACGCAGTCGCTAACTGCTAAAAGTTAGGCCTTTTTAGTCAGGTAGATAATACGCAGTCGCAAACTGCTGGCACAGGTCAGTACTGATATTGTAAGTCGCCACCATTTACAAACATTACTTCATTTTGTCAGTAATAGTTAATCAGATATTTTAACAGGACGTATTGCATTTTTCTGTAACGAAAATAAAATCCCACTTAAATGTTATGGATTCAGAACACAACATATTATTAAGGAAAACACTGTAAAACAGCGTCACACAACATCTTTAAAACTGAATTTAAATAACGTACACTTAAATAATTGCTTAGCTGCTGTCATTTGTTTCTTACAGTTATCAAGTACTATAGATATATCAGAAGCTAAATGGCTGCAATTTATAAACTTAGAACAAGTGGAAGAATATTTTGGCAAAATGTACGTCCCTCTGGACTGTCAATTCATTGTGGCACAACCAGGTGAAAACGGTGCGGTAACATTCACCGAAGTTTATCACATCGGCAAAAATCAGCGACTGATGACGTTCAAACTGGGCGAATGGGTTCCTAAAAGAGGTTCTGTCTGGACAAACACAACGTTTTACACGCGCAGAGGAGACCTTCAAGGTGTCAGCATTAACGCAGCAGTCATCTCAGACGTAAGTATGAGTAACCTACTTCATAGTGGAGTATTCCATAAGAAAGCTGGTAAATACTTAACTGGTCAAGAAATTTCCTACCTTTGTAAATTCCAAACATTAATCACAGCGTTTGCAAATGCCACTGGACCCTGCCTTGTGCCAGTTCAATCCAGTCCACAACTTCACACATTTTCTATAGTATATTTTACAATACTCTCCTATCATCTCCGCCTAGGTCTATCTACACGGAAGTTTCATGTTATTTCAAGGCATTCATTTCGAAATATTTTAATTAAATTTAAACAGGCAAATATTTAGAGTGAAAGATATAAAGCTAAAATACCATATGCATGCAAGAAACCTCTCTTTGATGTTACAGTAAGTGTTCTTAGATATGAGCAAATTGTAACATCGTGTAATTGCATTTAACACTACAATGTAGCATACATGTAAATATTACCATACCGCAGTAGTTTTAGGTACCTAAAATTGTATTAATATGCTGCCACATGAAACTAATTTCCATACGGCTGTGTAATGAAATTTCTCTTTCCATCCAATCAGCATAATTATTTGGACAGAAAGCATAAGAGCTAGTTTAATTTCACATGAAATGGTTATTACACGTGCGCTAAACGAATCTCCCACTTACAGAGTCATTTCCTTATACACTTTTGTAATGCAAATGTTGGAAATGTGGTTTTAGAAGAATAATACTTTTATGTGGGCTGCAACATTAACATGAATTCTAAAATAATTGTATCTCCATGCTAAACGAATAGTGGCTTGTACGAGTTCTACTATGAACTGTATGAAATGTCGCGTAGAAATGAATGTTTGTTACTGTTGTTTATATTGAACATTATTGAAAGAAAAAATGTTTAATATTATGTTAAACTTCGTTGATCATTTCCTACCTCAAATTATTCCTCTCCTGCAGTCATAATTCTAGGGTACGGAAGATGATCTGTATTAAATATTTTATTCTGGCTCATCTTCTTCCCAGTACAATAACTTTGTACTCAAAAGCTAAAACGCCTTTTTATTTTCATTACTTAGGGTGCCATCTGCAATATCACAGAGATGAGAAACAACAAACCAGTTCGAGTAGAAGGATTTTTCGGCACACTGTGGAATGCATTACAGTATCGACTGAACTTCACGTAAGGGTTTACGTACTCGTATGAAGTAATTTATTTGCCTGTATTTTTAACAACAGATTTTTGTACTTCCCCTAGTTTTATGCAGACGAACACCGACACAGTGCATTAAAACAGGCCATAATCAATTCTTCTTTTCACTTAACTACAAACATAACATCCCATCAATTCAATAGACCCTACATAATCTCGGGAGTTGATTCAGCACCGTAAAATAATGGAACAACGAAACAGAATATGGCAATACGCGGAACCGGAAAGAAATGACCAGTATCAAACCAAAGTAGCTCTCAAATGCATTCATTCCTAGTTCTATTCTGGCCACGAAGTGAACATACGTAATTGCTTACTCACTCCCTGAAAGTCATGCATAAAGATTTTGTTTAACAAACTCCATTCTTTTACCCGACTTCGCAAAAATATACCCAGAATAAATTAAGTGTTAAAATCAGCCCTGTGAATTGCGGTAAGTATTAAGTTAATACTTAATTGCATGTAGCGTTATAAAACTCAGACTAAAATTTCGTAAAAGTGACTACACCCCCCGTAGCACAGCTAGGCCTTGGACATAAGCCAAAGGAAAGTGTGTCCTCATATCTGGGAAGATGCCAAATTATGATCACAGATTTGTGAGCACTCGTGTCAACTCGACGCTCTCAGTTAAAATTCTGTAACCGTCACTCCAAAAGTCTTTGAGAAGCCAACAGTCGCTCGAATACTGAAGAAATCCCACTGTTCTTAACTGTAACTTAAAAACCTTTGAGACTTCGGTTTCCATAAAAGCATAATATTTCTTAACTATTTAAGTAACTACGAACTTTTCAAGGATAAGCTTCCACATAAACATAAGTAGTTACAAGATATTGTAAGTGCGTCATATTGTGATTTATTAAATATTAAAAATATATTAAAATTGGCCGTCAATCACAATATAAGATAATTAAAAGATTAAAATATCATTTTACGTTCCTTATCGAGTACTCGATTTACATGTGGAACATTTACGACATGTTTCGGCTATATATAGCCGTCATCAGGTGTTATATTATAAACTTTTTAACTGAATTACTGATTTTTACTGATATTTAATGATTTTTAGTTTTCATTTTTCTTATCATGTTCTCGTCCTTCATATTGTACCTTCATTCTACGAAATACAATCATATAAGTGACATGCGACACAACAACGGATGAAGATACAATATGAAGGACGAGAACATGATAAGAAAAATGAAAACTAAAAATCATTAAATATCAGTAAAAATCAGTAATTCAGTTAAAAAGTTTATAATATAACACCTGATGACGGCTATATATAGCCGAAACATGTCGTAAATGTTCCACATGTAAATCGAGTACTCGATAAGGAACGTAAAATGATATTTTAATCTTTTAATTATCTTATATTGTGATTGACGGCCAATTTTAATATATTTTTAATATTTAATAAGTAGTTACTTAAACAAACAAGTAGACAAACATTCACAGAGACAAGCAGTTAGTTAGATAAGTAGACATTTTGCTAGATATTTACTTTGGCAGGTAGAAAGACACTAGTTGCTTAGATAAGATACAAAGAGGTGGACATAAGTTAGTCGGTCAGTTAATTACTAAAGTTGAATTTAAATCAGACATCTTATTTTACTCGTTGCCGTGAGAAATTTATATCGTAGCAAATTTTAAGAGAATGGCGAAGAGTGTAAAGATGCCTGTCTTCTGAAATGTTGCGCTATGTAGTCTGGTTGATACTGCCCGACGTTTCAGAGGTGTCTACTGTCATCTCAAAACTTGTTCTAACTTCTGAATGCCCCCTTTGTACCTTGCACTAAACAGATCTGAGTTTATGAAACCTACGGACGGAAATTATGGGTCCATGAACAGGAGAAAGTGGAGTGGTATGATCGGAATGCTCGTCAGACAGGAGGCGGACGTCGCAGTGGGCGCTTACATCATGACTGAGCGTCTACTCCAGTACGTTAACTTCGCTTCCCCAATGGGGAGAACCAAGTGAGTCTTTATTGCTATATTCTTCTTGCCCTAACGGATTATACATCTCAATGTGTCCATGGACCTCAAAATCCTTTTCTAAGAGTCTCGTTGGTCTACCTCTAGGTCCTCACCTCACAGACATTCGGTCATTTCTTCACCCATTCCAGCAACAGGATTTTTTCGTCCCTCCCTGTTGGTATAAACCTCTACAATTAGACTATATTTTCGATCCAAGCTCCTCACGCATTTGCATTATTTTGTATCATAATGTGATAATCATATCAAAGAGAATAAGGTGGAATGGACACGTAGCATGCAAGCGAGAGATAAGAAATGATTTTGGTTGGAAAGCCCAAAAGGAAGAGATCACTCGAAAGACCTAAGCGTAGAAGAGAAGATAATATGAAAATGAATCCTAAGGAAATAAATTTGGAGAATGTAGATTGGAGTACTCTGACTGAGAATAGGGGTCCGTGGCGGGATCCTGTGAACACGGTAATAAATATCCAGGTTCCAACTAGGGCGGGGAATTCTTTTACTAGCTGAGCAACTGCTAGCTTCTCAAGAAGAACTCTGCTCAAGGAAGTAAGTTAGTTGGTGTTTTTCCAGCTAAAAGGCTTTCGTGTCTTTCCTTTTTGTGCCTGCCGGCCCACGCCCATGTCTCGCCAATTGATTTCTTTATTCTTTCTCGCAACGCCAGATCAGCTCTGAGTCCCGGCAGCTTCCTATTTAATGGCTACCAGGCGCTTATAACTCTGCACTAAATTCTTTGGATAGCAAATCTAACAATTTACATCCATTTAATGCCGAGGTTAAGAAAATGTCGAGTATCTGCATCGATATTCCCCATATTCATCCATCGCATGGAACTCATAAACTGGGAAAACGTTTTCGTAACAATTCGGTAGGAATCTGATCTTTCTATTTCCTTTTAATCCCAAGGTATTTATTTGCTCTTGAGTCTTTTAGGGCGGTAAGCATGATACTGCTGAAAAGGCAGATTTTGTATGGGTGATGTGAGCTTTCTAGAGAGGAAATGGACTTGCACACTCGTTCGAATCGATAAGCTCGCATTCCGAACTGAAGGGCAATGACGAAAAGATGTTCAAAGGGAAATAGGATTCGTTTGCGATGTACTGGTACGAAAACATTTACGTGCATCTGCTTGCAATGATCGTTACTATAAAAACTGTGGAGGTTCTGGGCAGCCAAAGAGATAATGCTGATACCAAATGTTGACTAAGAAGAGACTTTAGAATAAAATATTTATTTCTCAGTCGTATACTTATTTAAACAAAGAAAATAGTATAGCGATCACCTTGAATTTCTCATATTTCCGACTAGTTGGGGATCTATCTAAAATAATCCGTTTAAAACAATGACCTTTATAATTAATTTAGCTTCTTTTTATGCCCCCGGTTTAAACAATCGTAACTCCAGATTACAACAGTTTGTAGCAATTATTCTGTAATAAAATCCTGTGGGGATTTATATAAGTTGGTAGTACAAAGAAGTAGCTCCGATCAGTGTAGTCAACAAATTAAACTGCAATTTCAAGTTCTTAATGAAAGTTTACCGGATGGCGAGTTATGACTTCTGACAGTTCCGAACGTCCTCAGTGTCTCCCATGTTGTACTAGGTACTTAAACAAATTATTTCATAAGAATAGTGAAGAAATTACTTTGAAAAGTATTCTGGCATTTACCTCAGTAGCAGGTATTTGTGAATAAAAATTATAGGCCTAGATAGCGTTACAAGTCTAAAATTATAAGTTTAAGAGTATTATTAATAACACAAATACTTCTTCTTTTTCCGGTTTAACAATGTTTTCTACATTTTCCGGTACTCTTTACGGGTCCCCAACGTTTTAGTTGGCTTGATCTATGGACATTTGGTAGGACTCCTTGGACGAGGGATCGGCCCGTCGCAAGGCCTCTACCTATTTACAGGACAGCACAACACAGAAAAACATCCATGACATGAGTGGGATTGGAACCCACGGTTCCCGCGACCAAACGGCACAAGACCCACGCCTCAGACCGCGCGGCCACTGCGGACCCCTAACACAAATACTATGGATTATAATACAGAAGTCGCCTAATCTCATTAAAAGCAAAGAATAAATTACGCTGTGTATCAAAAACTGTTTCTAAGTTCAGTATATTTGGTCACATTGTACTGTGGTAATTACTGTTGAGTATTAATCAGTTACCACATCAATTTTGCTGTTGTCCTCATAGACTGAATACAGAGTATTGGGTGTTAATTGACAAAGCAATAAAACAACCTGTTTGAGTGACAGATGTTTTGTACTGAGTTATGATTAATACTGCAATCAATTAAACGTAGACTGAGCTTCTCCAGCATTAGTACCGATAATATAAACCCCAGTCACATGACGACCTCCTGACGAGTTCAATAAAATTCACATTACCATTAACTTTAATATTCCTTCTGTAGTCTATTTTCTGATCCTATCCCGGTCTCCAACAGACTGCACTACAGCAAAAGTGTGTTTGTAAAGTGTTTCTCCAGTATGAGCCATGATACAGACTAGGACATCAAACATACTGTCACTGAAGTCAAATCTACTTTGACACGTGGCGAGGAAACAGTTACGTGACTATTAATGGTTAGAAATCATTAGTTTCATTTGTTATTTTTCTGCCAGTCGTAAAGTATGCCAACACCACCCAAATTACGAAACTGAGTCGGACGAAACTCGGTATCTTAACCTCATTATGCATTTTGCTAAATCATTTGTATTTTGATTGTAGTCTTCTGGGCTATGACGTCATATGGTCTTATCCATTTCGTACGCATTATGCAAAGAACACGTGAAAATACGAATAGTCTACAGTTCAGTATAAAATTGCACACAAACGAAAGAGCGAACCGCTCACATAAAAACAGACAATATATAACGGTAGATAAATTATATTAAAGTACATAAATTAAATTACAAAGACCATTTGGCCAATGTTGTTCAACATAAAAACAGACAATATATAACGGTAAATAAATTATATTAAAGTACATGAATTAAATTTTGGCCAATGTTGTTCGTTCCGAGAATAAGAAATAAATACACTGTGGTCAAAACGCAGAGTTACTTATTATTAAAGCAGGTTTAGGCCAAAGTTACCTATACATTCAATTTCTTTTTTGCTTCACTTAGGATAGCTGTGTTTGTGAGAAGCCCTCGTTCCTTATTCGAAACGTCCTGGGACTCCTACCTTGCACCGTTCAGCATTAAACTGTGGGTGGCCGTGTTATGTGCCATACTCGTCCTCACAGTAGGGCTGGCCGTCACATTCAACATCGGACGCAACATTGGAAACGAAGAGAGTGGCAGCATTGCACTTTATTCCCTGTATGATTCATTCATATACGTATTCGGATGCTTCTGTCAACAAGGTTTGTATCTAATGTCGTCTGGAAAATAATGGCCGTTGTGACTACTTGAGCTTAAATTAGGTTTGGTGAGACCTTAGACTACAGGCTACTTATAAAATAGAAAGAACCACCTGTCACCACTGGATAGGAGGCCGTGTAGACACTATAACTGGTCTGGACGGACGCGATGGCGAAGAGAAATATTCCGTGTGTGATTCCACAAAGAATTGATCCTCGGTCGTCCAGTAAGTAACCAGTCCAGTGAATACAGTTAATTCGTTCATCAATTCTCGAATAGTTGCATAAGAACAGGCTGACAGAAAAAAGAGTGAATCTAAAAAAAGAACATTAGCATCTTTTAGATAAAAAGCGCCAAATAATTCCCAACTAATAGACAAAGAGGAGGTTAAAAAATTAAGTATTTCTTAAAAATTCAACTGGTCAGCTAAAATTCAAGCCCGATCCAGAATTCCACACTCCTCCGAGAGATAATTATTGATGAAACGTATTACATTAAACTAGTAGAATTGTTATTCAGTATTTTTCACTGTTGGCGCTACAATCTTTGGGCTTCTTTAATCTTCTAGGAATATTATTACAGACAACGGTACGGCTTCTTAGAGATCAACAATCTGTTAAGCTTCTATCTTTACAGCGCAGAAAGCAAAAAAGTAAACATACATGTACCGAGTGTATTCGATTATGGGTTCCACTGTTTATTCAGAACCAAAGATCTAGCGGCTACCAGGGCGTGCTAGGTCTACGTTACTAGACCAATTAAGACCTTACTTTGTCGCTTGTACTAAAAGGTCGTTTATCGTATTAACCAAAGGAGTTGCCACATAGAGCACTGACAGAAACATTTCAGCCCAAAGTGGAAACGTTTCAGTATTCTGAAATTCCAATTACTGGTCTCAAACTCCCACAGCTTTAGTGACTATTCATGAACCTTGCCGATCCTTCCGTGTCTCTTTATCAGCGTACAACTCATTAGTGCAGTTTGAGGTATGGTGAGGTGCTACTACAACAGATTAACCTCCGAGATATTGAGGATTACGGGTACTGTACAGGAATCTGAGGCGTATGTACTCGGAGATAAATAATGACGTTTCCCTTTAATGAATGTTATACACTCTGAGAATATCAATCAAGTTTTAGAAGATACTATTTGAATTAATAATAATTCAATTCAATTCATTTATTAGAGTGCTTGGCAACAGCCAAAAGAGGCCAATAACAATAACAATAATAATAATAATAATAATAATAAACTTAATAATAAATCGGTTGATACATAAGTATGTTCAGATAGGTGGAAGAGTTGATAGATATTTTACAATTTTCGAACAACAGAAAATTTCTCGCGATTGTTTTCTGTTCGCATTCACATCACAGTTTCATGTGAACCGAAAAAAAACGAATGTTTCTCATTGTCTTTTTAGGTTCGTCTGTACCATCCGAAATAGGCAAAACTTTTAAGCTTTATGAAATCAAACAGCACACCATATCAACGAAAACTAGTTAATAAAATTTAGTATATTATATAAGTAACATATAATAACAACTTAAACGTTACAAATAAACATTTTTAAGATTCTCTCTAACTAACTTTATGAAGCAGGGTTTTTATAAGATTACAATCGCTCAGTAGTTCATAAATTTTAAAGGTGTCTGATGATGGAGAAACGCGGTGTGTACAATTTGCCGGTGCTATAAGTCCAAAAATTACAACCGAAGAATGGTGCCTATTTTACAGCTTATAAATCATATTACCTGTAATTTTGGGAAACTCTCACTTCTACCTCAAGTTCATGTGTAGAATGAAAAGTCACCTTTTTATAAATTTTTCGAAAAGTTAAGAAACATGATTTGGTAGCTATCCGTCCTGAAGTTTTAGGGCTTAACGCCTTCACCCTGGTTCCGGTGAAGTTATTCTATTTATCCATAGTCTAAGTGTCTTTTATTAAAACCATGATGTTTCGGAAGTCGGTTTTACTTCCTTCTTCAGGTGACAACGGGAGGAAAGACACTCCCTACCTACTCTGTTGGATCTCCTTCGTCCGAGGTTTAATTAAACACTTAAACAGTGAGTAGAGGGCAGCAAAATAATTACACACCCAATGCATATTCATTGTGCTGGTTCCTATGTTATGTGGCAGGTCATGAGAGGACGCCGCGTTCCTGGCCCTGTCGTCTGGTTTATCTGACGGCGTACCTGACGGCCGTCGTATTATTTGCCGCTTACTCGGCCACTTTCATCTCCTTCCTCGCTGTTCGTCACACTCCTCTGCCTTTCAAAACATTCGAGGAAATGCTGCAAGATGGCACATACAAGCTGGGAATTCTTAACCACTCCGTCGAGCTCAATTTCTTTGATGTAAGTGCTACTATACACATACTCAACACTATTTTCATAAATAATCACCCATATATAGTAAGAATCCGCAAATGGGAGAGAAGGGTTATTCGCTAATCAAACAAAAATCCTTCTATCAAACAATATAAATATTTTATGTGAAGCTTTCACGGCGGCTTTCATTAATAAAGCCTTCTCGGGCTATCAGCCGTGTTAGTTGGCGATCAATCGCCGACTAACATGGTTGATAACCCGAGAAGACTTTATTAATATAAATATTCATACAATAAACAATTCACCACTTTCACGAATACCTGCATGCCTAGATACAAACGTTTGCCCTTGAATTGTGTGCGAAATAACTTCTCTGCTTATGTGGCTTACAGCTTTAAACTTCTCGTCGAAGCACGGTCTACCCTGCGGAAAAACTTTTCAAGTTTAGTTCATCCTGTGCGAATTATGACAAAACACATTCAAAAAACCACAACTAATCCTCATCGTTCTTTATCATCCTCGTGTTTCATTCGAGGATACGCGATCTTCATAACAAAGACGGCGTCATTTATCAATCCAGCGAACTCCACTGCGGACAATTCTTCATTCGACGCGAATAATAGCTCAGCTACTTCAGAACACGAAGTTTCTTCCCGTTTTTAAAAGAGGTCGTCACTAGTCCCCATTCGGAGTCAGATCATTCCAGTTTATAACCTCTCACCCTACTTCTTTAAGATCAGCTTTAATATCCGCTCAACTACATTCAGATCTCCCAGGTTATCAAATTCTGTAGGCATTTCTCATTCTTCACATGACTGCTGAATGCCCGTCTGTGTAATATTCTTTGATTTTATCACGATTATGTAACCTGCGACACAATAACTACTGTGCATTATGATCGAATATTCTGTCATTTTAATTTCAACAAACATAAAGGAGTTATTTATAGCAAAACATGCACGGCTTCATTTTCATACAATATTAGATTAATAATATATCCATGCTATTTGATTCGGTATTTATGTATAAAATATTCCTTCACCAATATTAATGGAATGAAAGTGCGTATAAATTACGTAATAAATTCACTGCTTTCAATAACTGTAGAGAAATGGAAGTAGAGGGAAATTACATAGGTGTGAAGGACGAGACAAAGGTAGCTATTAATTAAATTAAGTTTTAGTGACACAGAATCAATTGGTATGAACAGAAAAGTTTAGTTTTGATTCTACATTAAAAGGAATTACATTAAAAACGAAGTGGCCTCGGACATAAAATTACTGACCCGAAATATAATTAGGCACGAGTTACGAAGTCCATTATCCACTTAACGTATTTCCACCGTGTACTGCCGACACGAAATACAAAATATAAAACCTAAAATGTTCGCACTGTTGACAGGTTTGTGTTTACTGAAACATTACAACATTTTTAAACACTACCACTGAATATCAGAGCTCACAAAAATAGTTTTCATAAGTATAACTAGGGTCATCTTCAAAATCGGAGAGGAAACTCAAAGTCAAATCAATTGCCTACATATTTTAAGTTTATTTGACAGTTTTTAAAACACGAAGTTCTGGAAAAAAACTTAGGATGGCTAATTTCCTTTGGAGACATTGGTCCACATGACACTAATTCATGAACTATACATATTAGTCATCCACGTCCATATAACATAACGTTTTCGACTATTACCGAGTCCGACTACGTTTAAATTTCCCGATATAACAATAACGTTAGTACAGTCATCATGGTTTGGATTTATTTATTTATTTCGATCTAATGTAAACATTCTTTTAAAGTCAAATTTAACTTTGTTATTTTTCAAAAGTGAATAATCACAAAAATCTCCATCTTTTTTTCAAAATATAACTTAATTAATATCAATAATCCTTATTTAAACCATTCTTCTATATCTTGTGTAGTCAGGTAAAACAATAAAAATAAATTAAAAATAGCCTCTCGATGTGATTAGCTTCGCAACACCAAGTCATAATCTAGTTATAGTTTGTCTGTAATTAAAATCAAAAGTAAAAAAGTATACAATATCACTCGGGGAGAATTTGGAAAATCTAGACTCTTCTTTTGAAAATTATGGACGGGTACAGACTGACATTCTGCGTTCCGCCCTGAAAACTGAGACATGAACACCATAACAAGGGTATTGCGCGTTACACATGCATAAACAATAACGCGGAAATTGTAATGACCGCACTGGATCTGCAGTTCTCCTTCAGATCGTGGGCACTTTTTCTGCTTTTGTTGAAATTTTATATGAGTGAGCCTGAAAACATCGTACTGACAACCGAATAACGGGGGTAACGAAGAATAATTCTTACTTGTGCGTGTAACTGAGCCTCACACTCGTATAACTAAACTGAACTTCCGGTCAAATTTTAGGGTCACAGGTGAAGCACCAATTGGCAACCACGCTGTCTCAGCTGACCTCCAAATCACTTCTGTGACGACAGATACATATTACGCATTAAAGATTAAGAGGTTGAAATCAAAATAGTTGGAAATTTCTGCTACACTTATCACGTTACAAACACATAAAATATATAAATACCATAGACAAAAATTACTGAATGTCGCGGCCGATTGGTTTTCGCTCCTGCTTCGTGTTTCGGAGGTCTCTGGTTCAAATTTCGACCCGGAGGCTGGATATACTGAGTCAGGAGCCGATTGGTTTTCGCTCCTGCTTCGTGTTTCGGAGGTCTCTGGTTCAAATTTCGACCCGGAGGCTGGATATACTGAGTCAGGATTCGTGATTTTCTTCACTTCCTCCAAGCATTTGCTGGGATAGTTCCTTAAATTAGGCAACGTCTGTTTTTTTTTCACATTCTCTACAGTTTATTAATCATCAATAATCATACCAACTACGGCATATAGTCTGAGATAGTGATAGCGTCCTTTAGAAACCACAAACTAATAAACAAACAAACATTACATTTCTTGCACTCCACCCATCCTGCTTCTCTCCGCCTCTGTCCTCGCTTCTCTCTTCTGACCTCTGAAGAGCAAGCAGGCAGTATTATATTGCTTGTCCCGATTCCAATGATCAAACACTGAACGACCCACATTTCTTCGACTTCTTCTTCTCTTGAGGTATTTTATTGTTGCGTAGGCATTCGAGATGTTCTATTCATTCTGTCTGCATCCTCTTTTTTGTTTGTTTGTTTCTTTAAAGAGAATGTATGTAATTGAGTTCTCGTTTCATCATTGTAAAATCTAAACATTTCCGTACAGCCACTCGTTTTAATTTAATCCCGGAATCCTGAAACCTACTAAGGTTTTAACTAATGCTGCGGTAGCAGAAACTAGAAGGTTCAACTTTGTTACCACAGCCAATTTCATCATCTTCTGATCCGAACGTCTTGCCTTCCTAAGATCCATCTTAATATCTCCATATTATTTCCTTCTAATTTTTCAAAATTGATATTTTTCAACACGTTTCCCCACCAACATCCCGCATGTATTCCTTGTTTCCTATATTCCAACCAATACAGTCTTTTAGACTGCACTGTCCTAGCAATGCTGATACTTGTATAAGTCACGTAGTCTCTCACTGTAAAATTCTCCTAAATTGTTCAATTAGGGCTTTCTCAATCATATCAGTATCTTGGAATAAATATTTATATTGCATGAATATATTTTGCACTCTGAGTCATATACACCTAGACCGCCAATGGGCAATGTTATGGGTGCAACGTTTTTGCTCTTGGTAAATGTCAGCTTAAGACCACGCATGTTGGTTTCAACAGACGGCAACAGAGGCGGTCATGCAGCAAGTGTACGATCAGCTGATTCTTCCAACCATGTACGACGCTCCACCCGACACCCTGGCGGGTCTGCAGCGGGTGTGTGACAAGTCAAAGTACGGTTTCGTGGTGGACTCGACGCGTGCCGCCAGCGTCATGAACAATGTGACGTGTGAAATCGAGGAGCTGCCCCACGCCTTCATTCCGGCCACCGGAACTTTCGTCATTGGGAAACACAGTCCCTACCGCAGAATCATCAACAGCAAGTAGGCTGACTCTACTGTCAAGTTCAGATTGCCAACTTCTGAGCAGCATGCTCTTTCGAATCATGAGTGCACAGCCGTAAGACTATAAGGTGCAACCGCCCAGAAGACAATAATTTAAACTCACACGTCAATAACATACTTTTGGTCACACCTATACACGTAAAAAGACATACGGTACTAAGGAAAGCGCTGCAATGGACACATTTTCAAAAATCTTTAGGCACAATTGACTTGATCCTTTAATAAATGACGTAAAATATTATAGCCAAGGAAGGTAGCGTTTACACTGATACATGAACATGATGCAAACAGAATATGTTCACTTCTCATGTAAACGCCCTTAACAAGAAATTCAACACTTCTCTATAAGAGAGCTCAGCCTTTGCTTGTTCCTTCTTAGTAATAGTACTTAGATTCCATGCCATCGGATGGTCTACGGCAGTGGTCCCCAACGCGGTGCCCGCGGGAGCCATGGCCCTCGCCAAGGCTTTTTTTTTTTGGGTACCCGCGTTGATACGGAAAGAGGTTACACTGAATAATGAAGACCGTTCAACCACGAACATTATAAAATCAAAGCACAGATCTCTACTTGCAAATGCCTATCTTGACGATCGTTTGAGAGCAGCAACATCATCCTACATTCCCAAATTTTAAAAACTTGCCGATTAAATGCAGTCAAACATCACACTAACTTCCAACTTGAGTAATAATAATTGTACTTATAAAAGTACGTATTTTTGATTGCATGGTTTCTTGTATCAATAAACGTCGTGTTGTTTTGTGTATTATTTGGTGTCCATATCTTATTTGTCCACAGAAAAGAAAATTTGGCTTTGTTAATTGGTTGGTGCCCGCCACGATCTCATAAACTCTCAAATGTGCCCGTAGGCACAAAAAGGTGGGTGACCACTGGTCTACAGGACAAGGGGTCGATTCGCACAAACGACACGACTCAGCTATACACATACAATATATACATACATACATACGTCACGAAACGAAACGAATCAAGTTATATAAACGAGTATAAAATACAGTTTTCTGTTAGGGCAATCTTAATACCAGAATCTTGACCAAGTAGGTCAACAGAAACCCCGTGGGTTTATATGTTGTTCTACTCAAGCCTTCACGAGATATTTCTTCGTAAACATCAGAGGGTAAACAATTTTCCTGTTTTTTCCTAATTGTCCTGTTTCAGAGGAATGAGTTCAATCTACAAATTCAGCTATCGGGGTTGAGCTTTGCCGAATGCTGATATAACCTTTTTTCAAACATTCCCAAAACACTTACATATTGTATATTTACCCGGAAGATGACAACATCAATGTTCGCCGAAACGTTGGATAATTTTCAACATTAGACGCAGTTCATCATCGAAAGTCGAATTTATACACTTCCTGTATTTTATTTGCAGTCTGGAGTCTATGCGGCGGCATGGTGAACTAGGGTGGTTATTTCACCACGCGATGCCGTCGATGGCTACAGATACGTCTTCATCTATCCTGCCAAAAGTTCAGATACAAGAAGTGCTACCTGTCCTTGTGATAATCGCTGCGAGTCTCGTTGTGGCCAACGCGTTTCTAGTCATGGAGAGATGCATTCACCGGCTTGTGTACCGATATCGACACCGACAGAGGCTGTGCCAATGCGACGCACGGTTCGTCAACTCAGCGTGCAAAACGGTCAAGTAAACGTGATTGTCTGACCATCATTCATTGCCCAGGGGGAAGAAATTTGAACTTTAAATGCTATATGCACATCACTTTCCAACTTTATATTGTGGTTGACATAACAAAAATAATTAAAACCTACTTCAACGGGTATCGAAGTGGCTTCTTACTCCGACCTTTCCAAATATCTATCTTCATTGTACCGAGAATCTGGTAGATATTTAACAATTCAATAGGCCATAATTCACAGTCATCGAAGTTGGTAGAGAAAAGTGATCGAAATGGGGCCCACCCAGCCTCCTCTACAATGGGTACCGGGGTCCTTTCCCGGGGGTAAAGCCGGCCGGGGCGTGATGCTGACCACTCACCCCCATCTAGTGCCGAGGTCAAGGAAGAGAGGAGCTATACCTCCACTCACCCCAAACGCCTACATGGCGTATAGTGGGACAAACTTTACTTTACTTTTTATTATTAATCGAATTAAATCTCCGACTTGTATATCCAGAGTAGGTTATAATGGGATAAAATAAGATAGAAGAAAATCGATATTTTAAAGAGATGTGTCATTGCCAGATCCGGATGACATCATCGGGCAAGTGACAAGGACATCTTTGTACACTGACCAACAGTTCTGATCATTCTGTTGCATGACGTAATTAACAACTACGCCTTTCGGTACTAACCCTTGCTAATCTTACTCACCGTTATCAGTCCTAGAATTTCACGGATTTCTTGGTTTGAAAATAAAGTTTAAGCTAAGTTATTTCGAAGGTTATGAATATCGTGGATAAACCAAAGCTAGAAAAAGGGCAATAAAACAGAAGATCAGAACTCCTCGCCTTGATGATGAAGGGAACAAGGACCTCTGAAAAGTTGGTAAACACCTACCAGACTACACGGCGTTACAACCCAGAAGACAGTCGTCTTCAGGCTCACCGCCGTGAATGTTTCTTTATTTTCACATAATACAAAGTATAAACATGTGTCGATTTAAAATTAATGTGTCTATACCATGAAACTGAATTTATAGGATTAGCAGAATATTAAATAGTTCAACAGAAACAGGGTCGAGATTTAGCCGTTTATAAAACGTCAAACTTGCCCAAAATTCGAATATACAATAATGATACATTAATCATGACGCAGAAAGAGCGTATAATATCCAAAATTGTAATAAACCATAGAATGAAATACCACACTAATTTTCTTTGAAACAGAGCGCCATATATGTTCTTATGAAATTATTACACACGTAAAGTGAATTTAATGCCAAAAGATTGGTATTAAATTACATAGTTGTTAATACACATAAAAGAATGGCTTTTTTTGTTAGTGTATTTATTTTTCAAACCACATTTTGCAAAGAATTATCACGTTTGCGGTATTCCAACTTTACAGAGTCCACATGAATATTATATAGCCTTTCGACAGACAACGTAGGAACTACCTGAATTCGAACAAATAAAGGGAAGAGAAATGAAATGTTTTATTAAAGTCTGGACGTAAAATCCAGTGAAATATAAACACAGTGTGCTTTTGTTACACAATACTCATACAACTGAAGAAGAGTAAAATAATAAATACATATTAGCACTGGAAAGTATAATCCTAGCAGACTTTGATTATCTACCGCGGCAATGTGCGTCTGCAGAACGCAAATGGTTGAGACGGCCTCCACGCATGCAAAGCAGCTGCAGAAATGTTGACTCAACAGTCATAGACAGTCGACAAGGCGTGGTACTCTAGCTTGCAATTGGAGGGGGGGAAACAATCTCTCACCGTGAAAAGGGGGCAGGTTACTAATATCACTACATTCACAAAGAAGTCAAGAGCAGACTAAATTTGACAACATTTGGTACTATTCAGTTCATAATATTGTATTCTCCCGGGTTTTATTTACTTCAGATTATAATACTGAAATATAGGTACACACACCATAATATTACTGTTGTTTTGCATGGGTGTGAAACTTGGTGTCTGGCCCTAAGGAAATATCAGCATCGATTATGAATATTTCAGAACAGAATGATGAGGAAAAATGTGTGAATCTGAAAACCGGAAAGAATTTTTGACCAACTGAGCGACTGTCGTTTTCTCAAGAAGACTTCACTCCGCACGGCTATATAATTATTTTAAAGTTGTTCGGCCAAAACAACTCTGGGGTTCGATGCAAGAAAATAAGACGTCCAAAATATCAACAATAATAATCTATTACATTGAACCATGGCGGATATTTCAATATACACATCACGTGGGTCGTGTCACTCGAATGCATATGAACTATGCAGATTTTGTATGCAATTTGCAAGAGTTATTTGCGCACTTAACAGTCTAGACATCGCATGTCACAGAAATGACGGCAATACGCGTATGATTTTGGTACTTCTACCGACCAAACTGATGACATGTCACGTTACAGAAGTTTACCATAATAAATTGTACAAGCTTTCCAAACTTTGTGTAGCCGACGAAAACGTTTGGCTAAGAACGTTACTGATAACACAACCACCTAACTAGTACCTCCACGAAACAAATTCCTGCTTGGAAAGCAAATAACTGTTTACGTGGTAAATAAATTCACAGCGCCATATAGACCTCATTATAAATGTGTTCATAATAGGAAACTACCGAGCACGATCTGTGCTCAAGCAGTTGAATCTCATCAACAATCTCACACCCTATATCCTCAATATCCATTAAAATTGTCTTCCGGTCTACAAGGAGGTCTCCAAAGTGATGTCTCACTTTCAGGCTTTCTAATCAAATTTTGTATATATTTGTCACCTTTTATGTATTTCGTAAAGTAGAAATGTTTCAGTGTTGATAAAGTTTTAGTTTGTTACTTTAGCCCCAGTATCATTACCAATATTATGTAAATTCTCGTTTCCAACTGTCGATTTGAAAATATCTTCTCTTCCTACTTTTGCATTCAAATGTCCAATAAAATTTTCATGTGATGCGTACAAAATCACCGGAGCGTACCACATCAAGAGAAACAACATAGTTTGCAGTGAATGTAACAACGCTGCTGCTGACGGTATAACAGAACGCACAGGTCACGATAATTCTAGCCTGGTAGGCAATAGGGCATTATGGCGATCTTCAGTAAGCGACATGCCCCACAAAATAATTCACGAGTAAGGCACAGACTCCCTTACATTATGTAAGAGGTTCAAACTTGATCACGGAATTCACAAAGGCACTGATCCAAAAAAAATGCTTCGTTATTGCGTTACGGACAGTAAAAGCTTGCTGGTTTTTATTCAACTATCCGCTTGGAGTAGTCTTTTTACAGAAACTAATATTAGCTCAGCTAGTCAAAAAATTCGTCGGCTATTATATAATCCGGATGCTCTTTGCCGTGTTCACTAGAGCCCTGACTGGAACCTAATCTTAATCACACGAATCCACGCCAAAATTAACACACTACTTCTTTATGATACATTTTACTATCTTCTATATCCACTCCTACGTCCCCGTCGCGGTCTCTTCCCTTCATTTTTTCCGTTTAATATTTCGTATGAATTTCTTATTTCCCAGACGGGTGCTACATGTCCCGCGTATTTAACCCCCCTTTATTACACAACACAAACAGCATCTAGTGAAAAGTATAAATATTAAGTCTCCCATTTCCGACTTCCAGTTACTTTGTCCCTCTTAGATCAAATAAGTCGTATTAAAACAGCCTTACCATGTGCTCTTCTTACATTATGTTACTACAGGAGTAAACTGAGTATTGGAAAATTTCTTATTCGTCAGTAAATTTACATATGCATTCCGTCGACGTGTCTGCCTTCTGTACATTGCATGTATATTTATGTAATGCAAACATATTTATGGAACATGTTGCAAATGTTCGCCGTTAACATGACTGCAAGTTTCACCTCGATGTGCCAATAATTATTACACGTCCTCACAAACGTCACATCTTGAATGCATTACCATAGATTTCCTTGTTTATCCTCCCCCACAGCAAAGTGAATGCTTTCTGTACGTGTACCTATGTTGGTAAATCTGATTTGGTGCATATCATTTCACGTTATCTCATCTAGTATAATATCCCCATACAATACACACAACACATCTGACTTCAACTATATCCATCCTGTAATGAGGAATTCGTGGATTGATGTTCGCATAAGCCCCAATTAGTATGCATCTTCGTTTTCGTCAGTATTGCAATGAATCATAAATTGCTATCGTCTCTTTCTGGCCTTCGCTGTTATATTAATGACTTAGAAACAGATGTGAAATTATAAAACGCACATTACTAAAAAAAATTCAAAGACAAATTTTGCTACAATTATGTCAACTGTTGGACGTTAACTAAAGAATAAATACAAGGCATGCAGACGGTAGAAACGTGTTTCCTTAGAGCCGTCACAGGGTACAGAACAAAGGACCATAAACGTAATGAAGATATCAGAGTAATGAGAATTACAGATATCAGTACAGTAATATAATAATATCGAAAGAATCTCCTGTAATATCTGAAAAGAATGTCTGAAAAACGAATCCAGAAACTGTATCAATATAAATCAATGTTTCTCACGCTTTCTTCCATAGCGACCCCTTTTATTATGTAAACTGTTTATTACGATTGTCAGCTACCCCTTTTGGCACACTGTCTCAACTGGCACGTTGAAGAAGGACGGAGCTGAAGACAAGGCAATAAAAATTTACGCTACAAATGTCATTATTCATGACCCCCTGGAGGTCGCGCCCCACTGGTTAAAACCACTGAAATTAACTCAAGGCGAGAAAATGAACACGCAATGCCCAACAAAGAAAAACGAAGGCGGGAATCATTTTAATACTTGAAACCGAAACAAATCATGAACATAATCTCACACGATGATAATTTTATTATGAAAGTGATGACCAAATTTATGGAAGTTGATCTCCAGGTGATAAATTGTAAGGACGAAAGATGATGATTCCATGTACGCATACTCAAACGAAAACGAAATTATTCACTGACATTCTAGACTAATTAGACTATGGAGTTCAAGTAAACAGTGCGCAACACCAAGCCAATATTCATAGGCACTGACATGCATTATCCTAAGTCAGACCCATAAAACAGAAATTACTATCATATACGTTCAACGTACGTATAACCTCATTTTCAGATAACATCCTTCCCAGACCTATTATAGACACTAACCCTTTCCATGCTATGAATGATAAT